AAAACCCACAAAAAACGATGGATGCCGGCCACGAAAGCCTACGACTTCACAAGAGCACATCTCTTTACACACATACTCATCTTACAGACTAACCCGGCTATACCTTTGATTTTTGCAACAGACTGCAGTTAGCTTTTTCTTCAATACTAAGAGTAAATGTTTCATGTTTTTATTGTAAATGAGATTTTAAATCTGTATAACGATTTAATATATTTTTAAGGGGGGTTATTTGTTGTTGATTGTATGGGTGTATTCTTTTTTAACGGTAAGCCGCCTTGACAGCCTTGGCTAAAGGCAGAGTATAAATAAAGTTTTATTATTATTATTATTATTATTATTATTATTATTATTATTAAATATGGACACATGGAACAAAACAGGCAGCTCAGGCAAACAAAGACATTTTGAACCGTACAGAGTCTACTTGAAGGCTTCTTCCAAAATGCATCCAGGGTGATCTTATTGTTTTTGTTCCTTCGCTAGCCTCCACTTTTCTTATCTTCCCAATGCTGATGCTGCTGAAAAATGTCTAGCTAGACGGAGGAGAAGGATGAAAAATGAGGGGCCCAGTCAGTGCAAAAAAACCTATGTTCTTTCAAGGCAAAGTCTAATTTTAATTGAATAGAGTTGATCTTTAAGGCAAGCATGTATTCTCCCCTTGAAGTGGATTATTTCTGCAGTGTGTTTCAGACCTAATTTGCTGAAGTGTTATTACAGATTGGCATGGTTTTAAATGGTCTTAAACTGGTTTTAAATGGTCTGGTTTCAAGTGATAAATAATCATCACATCCTTTGGGGTTTGTTGTTTCTGACTTATTACGGGGGCCCTAAGGCAAAGCTATCACGGGGTTTTCTTGGCAAGATTTGTTAGAGGAGGTTTGCCATTGTCTTCCCCTGAGGCTGAGAGCGTGTGACTTGCCCAAGGTCACCCAAGTTGCCAGTTTTTATTCTGCAAGGCAGGAGGGAAGGCATGACTTTAACATGTTTGGGGTTTTTTGGACGTGGCAAGTGGCGTAGTAGTTTGAGCATAGGACTTGGACTCTGGAGACTGGGGTTTGATTCCCAGCTCAGCCATCAAACCCACTGGATAACCTTGAGAGAGTCACACTCTCTCAGCCCCAGCAAACCCCTGTAATAGGGTCACCATCAGTTGGAAATGACTCGAAGGCATGCAACAATCGAGCTATATACAAATGTAAGAAAGGTCTCCTTGGTACATGGACAAAGGTGTGCTTTTGGGTTTTTTTCCTGCTGCCTTTCTGTTCCTAGCCCTCCAGGGATTAAAGGCGCTGGAGCTTATTGGGGGAGAAAAGTTGGCAACTTGACAGTCAAGACTCTCTGGCTGCTAATATTCAGGGTTGCACTTTTGCTCGCCAGGCTTGGTATTTTTAGAAACTAACTGGAATTTAGCCGCTTTGACTGGACCCTGGTGACGGAGCGAAGCTTTGCAGAGCAAAGTTTTAAAAAATGTGTGCAATGGGAGGCAGCCAAGTATGAAGGAGACCCAGAGGCCTCTTTGGTCTATAAATCACAAGGAAGAAGGCATTTGAGCCAGAGGGACTTGGACCAAAGTGCAAAGAGAAGCTGCAACCTCTAAAATTCCCTCCTTACAGGGTCACCAGGCATCCTCCTTTTCCAGGACACGCCCTCCATTCCAGCCTTCTGTCCAGGAGGCATTCCAAAAGGTCCTCCATTTGGAGCAGGACTACAAAGCCCATTGAGTAGCACCACGTTTGCTGTCCCCCTTTGAGAAATACATCGAGGTGGTGGCCTGTCCTTGCTGCAAATTGGAGGATAGGATGGGTAGGGTTGGATAATGAAATAAAAATAAAAAGGGTAATAAAATACAGTATATGGACCATATATATTAGATTGCAAGTCAACCTCATGTATAAGTTATTATGGATTTTGGTGTGACCCATGGATAAAAGGATCTTAAAGGATGAAGAAAAAGAAAATGATGCCCAAAAGCTTACAAAATTTGAGCATGAATTTATCTTTATATGAGTGTTTTTAGGTTTGATTTTGCAACGTCCTACGTTTCCCCCCCCCCTTTGAATGTCCTACATTTTGCGATGCCTCTTTTGCAGTTATGACATCTGGTCATAACTCTTTTCCATCCGCGGGCAAAGATTTCTTTTCTTCCTACAGGATTTTGAGAACGGGATGTTTTTAAAGAAAGAGCTTTTAGGTTTTGCTGTTGCGTGCCTTCGAATCATTTCTTGGCAAGTTTCTTCAGAGGGGGGTTTGCCTTTGCCGTCATCTGAGGCTGAGAGAGTGTGACTTGCCCAAGGTAGCTCAGTGGGTTTGCCTGACCAAGCTGGGATTCGAACCCTAGTCTCCAGAGTCATAGTCCAAACACTACACTCAAACCACTACACCACACTGTTCTATACTTTCCCTTTTTCTTTTCCTGTTTTTAATCATATTGCTTTTAAATGGGTGTTTTATTATTTTTAATTGCATGCTTTAAATGGCTTTGAATGTTATTGACCGTAGGAATGCCATTTTGACGATGATCTTCTGTGCGTTTCAACTGTATTGTTTTGGTTTTAATTTGCAAAATGCCTTGAATCCCAGTTTGAGAGAAAAGGCAGCAGGCTTTTCAGTCATTTCCGACTTATTGCAACCATATCATGGGTTTTTCTTGGCAAGTTTCTTCAGAAGGAGTTTTCCATTGCCGTCCTCTGAGGCTGAGAGAGTGTGGCTTGCCCAAGGTCACCCAGTGGATTCTCATGGCCAAGATGGGAGTTGTATTAGTGCAAAAGGATCCTGGTGCTCCATCCATGTCAGCCGTGGGCTAACGCACAGCTCAGCTGCAGTCCTGAACATTTTGTGTGGCCTTCCAGATATTGCACTACAGCTCCCATCATCCTTCTACATTGGTTATGCTAGCTGGGGCTTCCCAGAGCTGCAGTGCAACAGCATCAAGAGGACTATATGTCCCCCAACATTGACTTCAATTCTTTTCTTGAAGTCCCAAGACCTTGCTGTTGTGGTTGTTGTGTGCCTTCAAGTGGCTTCCAACTTATGATGACCGTATCATGGCGTTTGCTTGGCAAGACCTGATCAGAAGGCTGAGAGAGTGTGACTTTCATATGGTCACCCAGTATAGGTCTCTATGGTCGAGCAGAGATTTGAACCCTGGTCACCCAGAGTCCAATGGTCAATGCACTACACTACACTGACTGTAAAAAATAGGGGTTTCTTGACAACTTTTTTTCAGAGGAGGTTGACCATTGCCACCTTCTGAGGTTGAGAGAGAGTGTCCAGATTCATCCAGTTGGTTTTGGTGGTTGATGCAGCCGGCCCTCCTTATCCACAGGTTGTTGTTATTTTATCCACAGATTCAAGCATCCACAGCTTGAAAATATATGTTTTTTTAAAAGTATAAATTCCAAATAGCAAACCTTGATTTTCCATATTATATAAAGGACATCATTTTGCTATGCCATTATATTTAACAAGACTCGAGTATCCATGGATTTTGGTATCCATGGGGGATCCTGACCCAAATCCCAGTGGATAACAAGGATCCACTATATTTTGGAATCTGCAGCAAATCCTGGAACCAAACCCCAGCAGAAACTAAGGGCCCACTGTATCTCTAATAAATGAGGACAATACACATGCATGGACACCATTTTCAACGCGGCACTCTTGCCCTGTGATTCCTCTCCCTGGCCCTGAGGAATGGAGAAGAGGGTCAATGAAGGGACCCCAAGGGTCATCCAATCCAACCCCATTCTGCCATGCAGGAAGACACAACTAAAACACCCCTGGAAGATGTCCATCCAATCTTTTTTTAAAGATCTCCAAAGAAGGAGACTCCACCACCCTCCAAGCTGCAGTGGTTTTGGCTTTCCAGATGTTTTGGACTTCAGCTCCCAGAATTCCTGACTGTTGGCCAAGATGGCTAGGGCTTCTGGGAGCCGAAGTCCAAAACATCTGGAGGACCAAAGTTTGGAACCACTGCTCCAAAGCAGTCCGTTCCATTCTCCATCATTCTCTTTGTCATGTTCAGATTTTTAATGGAATCTCCTTTCCTGCAGTTTGAATTCATTTTCTCAACTCTGAAGCAGCGGAAAACAACCCTGTTCCATCTTCTGCATGTTGTTGTTGTTGTTGTTGTGTGCCTTCAAGTTATTTCTGACTTATGGCAACCCTAAAAAAAAGCCATAGGGTTTTCTTGGCAAGATTTGTTTAGAGTGGGTTTGTCATGGCCATCCTCTGAGGCTGAGAGAATGTGACTTGACCAAGGTCACCCAGTGTGTTTCATGGCCGAGCTGGGAATCAAACCCTGTTCTCCAGAGTCATAGTCCAGTGCTTAAACCACTACGCCACCCT